AACCAAAGAGAGAAGCAACCTAGAATTAAGGAGAAATTTCCTAACAGTTAGAACAATTAATCAGTGGAACAACCTGCCTCCAGAAGCGGTGAATGCTCCAGCCTGGAAGTTTTTAAGAAGAGACTGGACATTTCAGACATTTGTCTGAAATGGTATAGAATTTCCTGCCTGAGCAGGGGGTTGGATTAAATGACCTCCAAGGTCCCTTCTAACTTTATTATTATTATTATTATTATTATTATTATTATTATTATTATTATTATTATTATTATTATTATTATTGTTGTTGTTGTTGTTGTTGTTGTTGTTGTTGTTGTTGTTGTTGTTGTTGTTGTTGTTGTTATCTATTGACTAGTGCGTGGTGTTGCAAGCCAGCCATGCTGTCTCTCCTCCAGACACTGGTACCTGCCCTTCATGGGCATCTAGTCTCGGGCTATCTGCCCGAGAAGAAATTTTCCTACATAAAACCTTGCAAGGTGCATCTTAGACTTATGTGGACTCCTTATATACCTCAAAACATTTTTGGTTTAGAACTGCCAGTTCCTACAAGGGTGAGGCCCTGGTGTATTGCTGAATATGTGAAGTTCAAGTGGTGTAAGTGGATTATACAAGAGCTATTGTCACTTTCTTGTCTCTGCCTGTCATCCTATTGTGGCATATCCCATGTAATTGCTGTAAGATAGTGTCATTTTGTGCACTTTGTGGGATATTCATACAGTAGGCATTGCAATCACTTATGACAGGAGTCACCTTGATTGGGATATTTGGCGCCTGGTGGTGAACTTACTAAGAGTTTGACTAGTTCCCTCTTGTCCACCAATCTTTAGTCTTTTACAAGGCTGATACATCTCTGTCCAGAAAAAAAAGGCCCATCTGAGAAGCAACTGAAGTTCAATCAGGAGTTCCACTCTATATTTATCCTCCACCCCCCACCCCTTCCAATGTATAGCTGAGATGTTTTTGGACAAATGTCTACTAGTCTCAGAGAAGATTGGTAAGCTGGTTGGCTCTCCTTCCTGTTGCTTGGACTTTCAGAAGAAGAGAAGAGAACTGATTTCAGAAACACTTAACCTGACATGTTACTGGGTGCAGAACATCTCCAACCAGGTGATAGGTCACTCGGGCTTTGCACTTTGCATTACCTCAAAGCCCCCATCCTAAAGTTCCACTAGCCAGATGAGACTTTGTGCACTGGATGTGCAGAGAGGCTGCTTCTGGCATATCCAGGAGCTGAGTGGAAGCATCAGAAGAGGTTCTGTTGAAACTGCCAGAGGCAGCCTCAGCAGTGAAGGAGGCAACTACTTTGTTTTGCTTTCAGAAATATAGACTGGATGTTATTTTGTGAACAGTTTCAAATCGTGCTTCATGTGAAACTTCATGATTTTGTTGTTGTTAATTGCGAAGTCGTGTCCAACCCATCGCGACCCCATTGACAACGTTCCTCCAGGTCTTCCTGTCCTCTACCATCTTCTGGAGTCCATTTAAGTTCACGCCTACTGCTTCAGTGACTCCATCCCAGCCACCTCATTCTCTGTCGTCCCCTTCTTCTATTGCCCTCAATCTTTCCCAGCATTAGGCCCTTCTCCAGTGAGTCCTAATCATATGTACGATACATTACTAATTAGCTTAAACTAGAATTTAGCCCCAAATTGTACTTGCCTGCTCACTTCTCCCATTTCTTTTAATTTCAATCTTATGTTCTCTTCCTCGGTCAGCATAGTTTCTTTCATTCTCCCTGAGTATTTCCAATATCCTCAATCCAAAACTTCATTTTACTGATACATCTGCCTGACCAGTTGACCTTCTTCTTCTAACAATGCCCATAATTGCCACAACTACCTACCATATCTACTGACCTACCTATCTAAGTTAAGGATGGAAAGCTGGAGAAGAAAGCCACAGTATCTGGTGGAGATGAAGTGAAAATATGCTACAACTTCATATACACTCACAGCTCAGGCTCTCCTTTTGTTTTCCAGATCCTCCTACACCATTGGTACTCTCCTCATTGCATTTTCTTCAGCAGGTGAGTGCTTCTGAATGAAGAGCCCACTTGAGCTCACTAAACATGGTGTTGGTATCCATGCCAGTTGCCAAGGGCCCAAATTCTGATCATGTGACTGCAGAGGCTGTGTGACAGGCATAAGTGCAAGAACTGGTAATAAGTCATTTTTTTCAGTGGTGTTGCAACTTTTAAAGGTTGCTAAATAGATGGTTGTAAGTCTAGGACAGGGGTGTCAAACTGCCGGCCCGCAGGCCGGATGCATCATCTGGAAGCCGCGCCCACCCCATTGCCAGCAATGGCAAAACCGGCCCGATACGTTGCGCGATGTCACATGACATCGCGAGTTTGACACCCCTGGTCTAGGACTACCTGTAGTTACACAGTTTGGGAAACTTGGATAAATTTTACTGATTTTGTAGTTCAAATTAATACTGTCAGATACAGACAGTATCTTAAAAGTTATACAGAAAAGGAAATACTGTACTGCCAGGTTTTCTTTCATATAAAGGTAACAACTGCTGTTTTTTTTAATTTTTCTTTAATGCGACTACTAAAAAGCTCCAAGATCTTTGTTCTCCCTATTCTATTAATTCATCCTTAACTTAAGGCAATTTAGTGGGTCCAACTAGTGATAGTGGACCATGGAGTTAAGCGTAGTACATAGAATGCCTTGGTAACTGGTTAATAATGGCCATGTTTAAACTAAACTTTGTTGGCTAAATGAGAAGTAATGGCTATCCATTTACTGTTCAAAGCTTGATAAGTAGTTAGATGTGAAGGATATACCATATCCTAGGTTATAATTGTGCTATTCTCTGAATCAACTTGACTGGGATTTATCTTAATGTTCATTTATACATTTATCTTGAAAGATTACAAGGTGTCCGACTGGATGGGTGCCTCTTGAGAAATAATTCTACTGTATGTGTTTTGTTGAGAGCTGACACTAGCATTCCACAAAAATCATGTGCACTGTCTAGCTCACTTCTGCTCATGCACATCTGGCCGATACTTTTTGCTAATATTTATCAAAAGGCAAAGGCAGGACAAAGACTGTGGGCTCAGGCTTTTTATTAGTAATTTCTCAGAACTGGTATAAAATATATGTTGCTATAGTTTGCTATGCTCCATACTATGTACATTGGGAATTGTTAGGTTGGGAGCTGTTAGCCAATATATGAATGGCTATTCTTGCACTAGCACAACCGATTTTTTTAGTTCTGCACTGTGAATGAATATGGAAAATGGGCAACAATACTTTGAAAGATAGATTATCTATATCTTGGTTTTTCTTCTTTCCAGCCACTGCAATAATGTTGTATCCAGCATTGACATTTATCTCTGTTGGTGGGATCCTTCTCATTCTCACAAATATGCAGGTTTGAATTTCTTCCCTTATGCATCCTACTGGGGAGGGATTCTGGGAAAGAACTTTGGAGGGGGGGGGCATGGATAAGTCTAACCACAACAACTTTTACTTGGGTGGGGGGAGATCCCAGAGATATCTTTATTTCCTCTTTTTGGGATATTCAAAACAAATTGGGAAAAGAGAACCATTATGTCATTTTCCTGCATGTTCAGAATGTATCAGGCTAGTCTGGAGATGAAATCCCATGAAAGATGGCCACAGGCATAGAAGAAATCTATTTTACAAATTGCTTATTCTTCCATAGCATCTATTTTTTTATATTCTAGCCTAAGTAGAACTGAAGGGGATTGGCCCTTTTAATTTATTTCTCCAGATTGGGAATCTGTTTGGAAAACATCGGTCCATCATCATTACCCTCTACAATGGAGCCTTTGATTCTTCCTCAGCTGTATTTCTTATCATCAAGGTTGGTGAGAAAGGCTTTTCCATTTTTGTTTTGCCTCCCATATCAATTTATCTTTAATTTTAAAAATGTTCCTACTTCTATCTTTGGGCTTTTCTGCCTTGTTGCTGCTTTTGGTAGGTGCGGGATTACCATTGTCGGCACAAAATTTCCTCATTGTCCTTATCTGTAGCACTAAACCATGACCTTAAACCCATCTAAATTATCAGCACTAAATGAATTAATGACTAGCTGATAATTGGATTAGACATTCAAAGAAACAGCCTACTTCAAAGCAAGCCAGGCTGCAACCTTAGGATTGAGGCTAAGACATAAAGAGAGCAAGATCATGGTGTGTGGAGGACGATAAGAGAGGAGATAAGCAAGATTGGGGGAGGGGGAATAATAAACTAGCATAAATAGTTAATTGAATTGTCCTGAATTGGTTTAACCTTCAGAGATATTTGATCTGGATTTATATGCTTAAAAGTAAGACTATAGATAATACTTTTCCTTCTTGCCTCCAGCAGATTCATTTTCTCATTAAAGGACAAGTTCAGGCTGATTTGGAAATACTGTACATTTCTGCACAAATTAGCCACGCATACCCAAGAGCGTTAGTTGTATGCAGACAGCTCCTTTGCTAGTGGGCATTAGAGAAAGGTCACCGTTTGCATTTGGCCATGAATCTGGGACATTTTCACCATTAATGCTGTTAACAGCCAATTGATATTACCAAAGTCACCTCTCTGCATTCAGGTAGTCCTGAACGTGAGGCAGAGCAGAGTTTACAGCCAAAATGAGACAGTTGCCTACTTCATCCTTCTTGGTAATGGTATTGGTTCTTCTCCAGTGAAAATCAGTCTTGCGGATCTCTGACTTTGAGCAAAAGATTATGAGGGAAAGAGGCTCTGCATCCCTTTCCCTTTTGCCATTTGTTTGAGATATCTAGGTTTAGATGGATCAGCCACAGAAGGTCTGTAGGCTTTGGGCCATGACTGACTCTCAGATCAACCTTTTTGATGGGATTGTTGCCGAGGGAAATAGGAAGAGGGAATGCTATGTATACCATCTTGCGCTCCTGAAGGAAAGGTGGGTTATATATATGTAGGTCTTTAGTTATTCGGGTTTTCTCCCGCGTAGAATTAAAAGTACCTTGGCGACATATCCAAACCCACACAGATGATGAGGCACAACCACAAACTAGAAGCCAGTCCACAGCTGCATCATCAGCCACTTTAAACCCCTCCAATCCATACATGAAGCAAACTGACACCCACCATAAAGATGTGGCACGACCACGAACACGAAGCCAAACAACAGCAATGAAGCTCACCATCTCAAATCCCCCTGCAACTCAAACTAAC